CAGCAGTTTAAGCGAAGAAGAGTTAAAAAGGTAACGGACAGAGTTATTTTTGTTATAATATTAAGTCTACATTACCTTTAAAATAATATAACCATGCATATATGTGTGTATAAATGCATTAAGAATTATAAATTAAAATTAAAAAAAAAACCCTATGCAAATCAATTGTCACGCGTGAATTACTTAATCGAGTAATCATACGCCAAAATGCCTTACATAATTTTGGAAAAGAGCTGATACTCTAACATTGCTGGACCGATATTAACCAAACGTAATATAACGTAATATAATAAGAACCACCGCAAGGAAACTGGCTTTCAAATGAAAAAACTGCATCGAAATCGGTCCATCTGTTTGAGAGCTACGATGCCACAGACAGACACACACACACCGACAGACATCAACGTCAAACTTATAACACCCCTCTTTTCGCGTCGGGGGCTGAAAAAAAGGACTATGGAAATCGATACACAATAATTACCGAAGATCCTACGCAATAAGCAATCCCTTCAAATTGATTATTCTTTGTAAAGCTATAATAAAACTGTACAGGTCGAATGTCTGTACATAGATAAAAAATGCTTAAAACCAAGTCAGGGGGATGTGAGAAGACAAATAGAACAAATCCAGTTTTTTTAAAACTTTTTGTTTTTCTGTCTGTTTGTACGGGCTAATCTCCGAATCTATTGGACCGATTTAAATGAAATTTTGCATGGTGGTACCTTATGTCCCCGGTCAATATCTAAGATACTTTTCATTCCGGAAAATTAAAGAATTTCCGTGGGATAGTTAAAAAACTATAGTAACTTATACAGCTTAGTAAACAAGAACTTATGCACCTAATTCAGTTAAATTTGGCATGCTGATACCTTATATTTCCGGTCAAACAACAGGTAACTTTTCTTCCCGGAAAAATGAACGGTTCCCGTGGGATAGATCTATTTGTGTTTCGCTAGTAAAAAATAAATAAATAAATCTTCAAGTTAAATACCTTTTAAACAAACTTCAAAAGAGTTTTTAACGATAAATAAGTAGTTTACCAAACAAAATCGAAATACTGGCAATTTTTCTTTTCAAATCAACCGAATTTTATTATTGTAGTCCATCCGATAGAGCTATCAAAACAAATGTATCGTAAATCTCTCTATCAGGAAATATTTTGCTTCATTTATACGGTAACATTTCACTGGATTCTGAAAAAATATACAATTAATATTAGAGTATTCGATTAGGAATAATTTAAAAAAACGACATTGTTTTAATTGAATTGGTTTTTCAATTGGTTGATTGAATCCCCATACAAACTTTTACTCCCCTTGCACTCTCCTAAGGTATGATTTCTGGGATAAAAACTATCCTATATCCTACCCAGGGTCCCAAACTATCAAACAGACGGACGGACAGAGTTACTTTCGCATTTATAATATTAAGTATGGAATTGTATTATTATTATTCTTTCTCTCAGTAATATATTAGAATTATTTTTACACAAAAATAGCTTTTGGGCCAAATAAGAACATTAACTAGTTTAAAGCCCAATGTCTAGTCATTTACGTGCGATGTTATCTAGAATATTGCGCTCCCAGAGCGTTGTTAAAACCTGAGCGAAGCGAATGCGGATCTCAATTATCAATATAGATTTATAATAGAATCTTTGCTTATTTATAGTAGACATATATATTTTTAGTTTTGAATTCGGCATTGAAATGGAATATGAATACATTTTTGAACTTCTCAGCCAAACGACTTTCTACAAAAGGTCACTATTACTTATCTATTTTATTAGAAACAGTAGAAAAAGTACAGCTATTAGAAACAGTAAAGAAATATTTCTAAGCGATATCATCTATAGGATAAATTATATAAATTAATTGTATTATTTTATCAAATACTAGCATTGCTCGCGGCTCCGCCCGCGTTCTGATGACCAAAAACCAAATTCTTAGGTTTTATATATTAGTATACTCTTACAATGCATTTTTGTATTTTTTCTCAGAAATGAGATATTTTCCCGCGGTAAAAAGTATACTATATGTTGACCCAGATAACCAGCTATCATCATACCAAACTTCATAAAAATCCCTCCAGTGGTTTTTCCGTGATGCGGTAACAGACAGACAAACAAAAATTCTAAAAACTATATATTCGGCCTCTATATCGATAATAATGTCAATTTCAATAAGATTTTCCAAAAAATATTTTATGTACAGATTCGGCTCAGTTAGAATTTTAGTATATGTATGTATATAGATAATCACTGTAACACAACAAAATAGATATATAAATAAAATAAACATTTAATTACAAACCACTGACTCACATATTCCTTTAATACGATGAACGCTTTCATTAAGCCGTCATAGTGCATCGAAGTTACATAATGAAGCGATTTGTTGACGCAGCTCAAATAGAAGCCATAGAAATCTAGTATGTTATTGAACTAAGATTAAACGTACATCATGTCTAACTTTTAATTAATCACAAACTTTTACTAAAAAACTCTTAAAAACAACTTATGTTTTAAATAAAACTATCATTCCGACGACACGTTTGGCTCAGTTTGTAGTGATCCTACTTGCCATACCAGCGGTCGCTGGTTCGAGTTCCGCTGGGGGCATTCATTTGTGTAATAAGCACCAATGTTTGTACTCCAGTCATGGGTTTTTATATTTATAATATGTATGTATTTAAAGTTATATATGTATAGTGTATCAGCTACGAACTTTTTATAATTATAATTTGTTGACATCCTTCCAATTATAATTAATTTATAATTTTTTTATTCTATATGTTATGTGTTTATCTTTCATGCAAAGTTACGAGATAAAGTTATTAAACCTTCTACTGCTTCAATCGGTTTTCATTTCAGTGCTATATTCCACCACGCTCACTAAATGCTGGTTAACAAACCTTATGTCCTTCGAAACCAAGTTAGGTTGTGTCCAACATACATATTTTCTCATGATGTTTTCTTCCACTATATAATAAAAGGAATGATCATGAAATTTGTGATGTAAAACCAAGAATTTGAACCCGTTTCACTCTATTTCTAAAGCTATTCCCAATGGCCTACCACTAAACATGAGATAGGTAATATAATTTAATTTCCGTATGCTGAATTTCATATACTCGTAGAATGTTCCTAAGAATGACGTAACGTACGTAGTACTTGCTCTACGAAAGTTTTTGATGATGCAGCACTGAATATGGAGAAATTAACAAAGTTCCCTAATTGCAGACACGATATTACATCGAATTAATCTTACAGCTAATAAAACATATTACACTCTGTTGTATGCTTAATGAAATTTATTGTTTAACTAGCAAGAGCCCGCGGCGTCGCTCGCAGTATAACTACATAAAAACTCTATAAAGGTAGATTTCATACAAACTTTCATCCCGTATTTTACCCTTTATGGGATGAATTTCGAAAGATGCTATAATACTAATAAATTGAAATGAAGAGTATTAATACCAAGTTTCAAGTAATTCTGATTATAAATATTTTTTTGGATTGTATTACAACGTATTTTCCCGTAGGAATGACATAATCTTTTGCGGTAAAAAGTAGCCTATGTCACTCTCTAGCCCTTTAACTATCTTCACACAAAAAATCACACTAATCCGTCACTCCGTTTCGACGTAAAAGAAGGACAAACAAACATATAAACAAACAAACACACTCACATTTATAATATTAAAAAATATGTATATGAAATTCAAATAAATTTAATTTTCATTAGCCAGCAGTGAAACAGAATACTGTAAAAGGAATCTTAAGCACACTTAACGTAATTTCAAAACCGACGCTTAGTACTTTAGCCTATTAACAGTAGTTACTAGACAAAAGCCTTTCGAGCGGTGTGCTTACTAAACCGTATGCAAGATAGTGAGTCGGTGAAACGTTTACATTAAAACTAAAGTAAAAAGGCAAATTGTAATGAATTCAAAAAGAAATTGTATACAGCATTATGTTCTTTTCATATATTTTGTATATTTTACTATTCTTTCGCAGACACATTTGGATATTATAAATTGAATAAAAAATCTCTATTCATATTTCTTTTCTATTTTAGAGATTCTTGTACATCATTCATCTTCATATATGGATATATATTATTATATACGTGTGTAATATATATATATATATATATATATATATATATATATATATATTATATATATATATATATTTATTACACCTAAACACACCTTACACATTAAATATATATATATATATATATCATTGAATACTGCCTAAATTTATTGCTTCTCATATCCGTATTTAATGCAAATTGAACTCGAAATTGGACTAGAAATTGTGGACTAAATTAAAATTGTTCGAAACGTTTTAAAAACAAATGTTTTTATTTCTTTTTTTTAGTAAGTTGAGTTAAAAACAATAGGAGTTTTAGGGGACACATCGAAATCTATACATATGATAAAATTCTGAGTCTAATCTGTACATTAAATATTTTTTGGAAAATCTTATTGAAATAGTCAATTGAAATATCGATGCAGAGGCCAACTCTATAGTATTTAGAATTTTTGTTCTGTCTGTCTGTCTGTCTATCTGTTTGGGAACGCATCACGAGAAAACCACTGGACTAGAAATTTTGATGAAATTTGGTATGATGATAGCTGGTTATCCGGGTCAACATATAGGATACTTTTACTGCGGGAAAATATCTCATCTCTGAGAAATCTATACTAAACGTTAAAACATAACCAGGGACGAACCTGAGCGGAGCGAGGGTGAGTTGCTAGTATCTTATAAAACGAATACTCGTAGATACAAGTGTACACCGAAACAAACCATTTTTTACACTGTTAGTCTGAAAATGTAAAATGCATACACTCCGAAAAACCACATTAAAAATCCCATTTTCTTCTATGAAAGCTACCTGTAATATTTTTTCAGCTAAAAGCTCACGCAAATAAAAGTACAAAAACTTGTTTACGAGATGAAAACTACAATGTTAATAAATCACTTGTTTCAGGCCACTGCCGAACTCCGCATCACAGATAAAAAACTCTATTTCTCTTTATTTTATCAATTTCCTAATATATATTTTTTATTTCCTGAGATTTTTTATATTTCCTGATATTTTTATCTAAGGATAGACTCATGGTATTTAAATAATTTTTATAGCATTTATGTTTGAGAAATATTTTACTTTTGTTATTATTACTATAGTCGTATGAACAGTGTTACATATTTTATGTTTTATGGCTTCATATATCATGGGACTTCATACACGTGGTTTTATATATTTTATTTATGTACATTTGTTAGAGACTGTCAGCAGAAAAGTGGCCTAAGTTGAGAATTTAAATTTATTAGACCTAATATGTCTTTGTGCGTTTATTGAATTAGCAAATGCTACTGTCATTGTCACTTTGACCGACTTTAAGAAAAAGGAATCTTAATTTGGCTGTATTTTTTATACTGTATTTTTACAAATTTCGTCATCATAGTATAAATCATGACGGTTGGGTAATTTTTTTGCTGACACTATTTTATATTTATTTGATATAATACTTTTCGCCTTTAATTTTTCAGTTATTATCTACTTAAGTGTGAAAGCGAGTTATTTATTAATACAGGTTTCATCATAAGTGGTTTAATTTTATATAGTTTTATTTATTTAGAAATCTAATAAATTTTGTGTAAATAAAAAGTCAAAAATAAATTTACATTAATTTCATTTTGATTTCGTTACATTAATGATATTGTATTTTTTTGGAATTAAGCTTGATAATAATTTTTTGCAAGTGTAAAATTGATACACATCCGTACGAATGTCAGCTGATCGCAATATGTTTAAATCCAATGCATTATAATATTTTTCGAACACTGCCATATTTGTAAAAATATTGAACGATTTCTGTCATTTTGTTAGGCTTTTTAAAAAATGTAATAATTAAATATTTAATTTTACAAGTAAAATACATTTAATGTAATAAGTGTAATAAGTTAATAACACCGGTAACTACTAGAAGCTTTTATAAAGCTAAGAAAGAAATTAAAAATGTTAGAGTAAGTAGTAAATTTTTCTGTTTTAAAACCTAATGGACTTTATATGTACCTGAGGGAAATACTTCTAGCCATACTTTTATCCAAAATAAAAATGCAAGATTAATTCGACGGTCCTTCAGCAAATGCGTATAACTAGAAAAGTTATATATTTTCAAAATATAGCTGAAAAAAGGTGCAAAGCTTTGATCTCTACATAACTCTCGCTTCTTCCTTTTCATCATATGTACGAGTATATTAAAGCACATTTTTAGGTTTTTGGACTATTATATATATTTTACGATCTATAACTTATGGCTTATAATAAATGATTTTGTCTTAAGACTTATTATGAAAAAAAATTAAAATTTCAATACACACATACGATATGTATCTCTTTCATAACATAATACTGTTTAGAATTATATAAATATATTTTTTATCTGTTTTTAAAATTTCATACCTTACAATAGAATATAAATTACGTATATGAGCGTTTGCCTAAGGACCGTTGTATTAAAACCTACCCATAAACTAGTTGAAGTTTATTTTAACATAAATTAGGGTCATTAGAAAGAATTTAAATAATGTAATTTTGTTGTAATATAACTTTTGAGTCATATCATAAGCACACTGGATTATTAGACTTAGTATAGTTAATAATGGAGTCATAACTTTGTACGTATAGTTTTGGGTGTATTCTTTCGTGAATAGTTTGATCAAAATAAATTCAGTCACTCAGTGACTTTTAGTATTTAATTAAAATTAAAAATTAATATCACGAGAGGTTACCCATTTAGATTTAAAAATTCGCTGTCAAATATTATTATCTTTATTGAAAGACTGATGATTCTTCATAGAAGTAAGTTCTAAACGCCAACGTTTTGTGCCAAAGTTCAGTTGTATCATACTTAAGTGGAACTTTGTCATAGTAAATTTATCTGAGAATCTTTCTCGTATCTCTTTTAAAGGATAAAGTGTCTTCTTTGACAAAGTTGTATCTAGTTCGCTGTAACTACTATACATATACATAAATTAGGTTCTTTGTTGTTACTCTCAACGTATTCTCGTAATTATTTATTGACGTCATATAAAATAAATGTTTGAAGTATTAGGTGTTTTATTTATTCCCCAAATGAAAAATGTTAGGCATTCCCATATATTTTCCTTCTACGTTGAAAGTCACAGCTTCGATTCCTGCATGTAACTATGAGCAACATCTATTCATTGAGTTAAAATTTTAAAATTTATTTTTAACTTCTTTTCTTCGAACAACTTAAAAATACAACAAAATGTTAGCTAGCTAGTGTTATTGTTGTCATTAGTATCGATGCAAAGTCTACATCAGGGGATAAATAACTTGATTTTGATGAAATTTAGTATATTATAACCTTACCTGGTCAATATATGTATCTATATATATTTTTTTTTACTGCGCGAAAACATCTGTTTCCCAAAGAAAAATATGAAAAATAGAATAAAGCCACTAGCTAGAATAAAACTGTAAACATTTTAACAAGCGAACTTACAAGAAATGGCAGAAAATAATTATGAATACCTTCTGTTGAAATAAAATCGTAATGAGAAATTTTATACTTAAAAAAATATTGAACTATTTTACCAACCTGTATAATATTATTTTTCCACGAATATTTGAATTAAAATATGATTAATACATAATTTAAAATTAAATTATACCTAATAAATTGTTTTATATAGAAAATAAAAGAAATACTAAATCTATACATATAATAAATGTGTATAAGTGTAATATCTCAGAACTGACTGAAACGATTTTGGTGCGGTTTACACTAATGTATTGCTTCACTTAACATTTCGTATTTGTTTTATTTCAATCGGTTCATAAATAAAAAAGGTATGTCAATTAAAAAAAATCCCCTAGGGACGAACTTGAGCGAAGCGTGGGTGAGTTGCTAGCAATTAAATAAATATGTGTATGAGCGCTTATTGGTTTATTGCACCCCTTCCTTGTGACAGTGGTAGCGCGGTGGTAACGCGCTTGCTTAAAAATCCAGGTTAAACGGGTTCAAATCCCGGATCTCCCATCTCTATTATTTTATATATTGTGCGAGTCATTTCAAACATGATGAACCTCTAGCTTACGGTAAAATAGAACATCCTGAGGAAACCCGGGAGTGTGAATACCACCAACCCGAACTTGGCCAGCGTGGTGGAATACAGCCTGATCTGATGCCCTGATTATATGAAGGGGAGGTCCGTGACTAGCAGCAGAAAGTTTAAAAGAATAAAGAATAATATATATTTTCACAACACAACAGTTTAATATGATTTTTACACATTATTATTATTTTTCAAAGGGTTTATTGACGGTAAGTAAAGTAGAAAATTTTATTCCACCGAGATACACCTGAGTACATTGCAAAACTTCACCAGGGATGCTGGAGTTTAGTCCATTTCGTTTGATTGATTCGACAAACAATAAAATTACACTTTCAAAGATCTAACATGTTTACGGTCACGTTTTTCAAATAATAAAGCAAAGTATGTGTGCTTCTGATGAATGCAGGCATCATCACCAGATGTGCTAGTGCATTTTCTTATTTTTCCTAAAATACCATAAAATGCTTCAAGCGTTACGTTACGTTAATAGGTTTGCCAAATGCTGACTTTTATTGCTACATATTAATGTTTTAAAACAAAACATTTGTCTCGAGTAAAAATAATTCTAAAAATCTTTTTACTTAATACAGAAGAAGAAAGAAGAAGAAAAAGAAGAAAAGAAGTGAAAAATAATAGACAGAAGTGGAAAATACCGTAAAGTATTTTTTGTACTAGTATTTTACATGTGTACGTTAATATGTTACTCCTAAAAATCCACACTGAAACTGCTGATTGAATTTGGACGATATTTAGTGTCTAAATAGAATTTTATTTGGAGTAACACAGGTTGGCGATGACTCCAGCGAAGTGAGGGTAAGTCACAAGTGCTTCTTATCCCTTTTTTATCATGGGGAAATGCATTTACGCATACCACCTGTAAACATACACTCACCTGAGACTCACCGGCTAGAAAAACCAATAATAGTTACTACCAAGTAAAACCCCATGGAACCTCCATCGTTTAATGGGGGGGTCGAACGATCGCTTACGCACTCGACCAAGTGCTACATATACCTATCTCAAATTGTATGGATTAGAAGGTGCAAAAAAAATTTATACGAATAAATTACACAATGATACGCTCGAAAAACATAACCCCATATAGCGCAGTTGGATAAAAAACAATAAAAATTTATAATGGAAACCGAAAGTTAATACCAACGTTTCATAAAATCCCTCTGGAACATAAACATTCACTGGACAAGCATAAATCATGTAAACGTTCAGAGAATTAGGAATACGAATTTTTCTTATTACTGAACATTTCAGAAGCTTGTTAGAGTTCCATACTAAAAGGTACTTACTAGTTGGATCTCTGTAAATATATTTATTAATATTTGTCAGATTTTACAACTTTAAAGAGTACAAAAATATAAAAAATTAGCCAGGCTTTAAAATTTACTAACGCAATATAAATAACTATTTATTAGTATTTACTATATAAACGTAATGCGTCCTCCAAAGTGATTTCTGTTACGGCAGCCAATCTGCCTGCAACTGACTGACCAACAAGCGCAGGAAATGTTGTAGGGTACAAATATGTGCGTAGACTCAATTGCACTCTCTAGTGCTTTAATTATCACATTCTGATGGGACTACAATATGACATGACCTATGAGGTATAAGGCGCAGGACCGACAGCTTAACGTGCTCTCACTTTTTCTTCTCACTTTTTTTTCACCTGCATATATACATATGTATATACAGGTGGTTATATGGGACTACTACTCATTAAAACCCAACAGAACCTCCCCTGTCTTAATGGGACGTCGCAGGATCGCTTACGCTCTCAACCACGACGCCCTGATAACAAGACTGTGTGCCGAAGCAGACTACAACGAACATGGGGTTTCTCTGTCAGTCGAGGT